CCCCCCCCCCCCCCCGTAAAAAAAAAATTTACTTATTTTTTTTTAATTTCAAATTTCTATTTTTATTTTTCTACACATACACCCTGCCCCTACCCCCCCCCCCCCCGGAAAAAATACTTTTTTATATATATATTTTCAATTTTAATTTTTTTCATCTGTAGGTTTACAGGTTTGAAATTTTACAAGTTCCAAAGTTATGAGTTTAGAGGTTTATGTGTTTGAAAGTTTACGGGTTAGAAATTATAAAGTTTACGGGTTCGAAAGTTCGCGGTTTTTACGTAAAAAAATAAAGCAACACATTAGTTGCTTTAGATTGTGTCAATTTTTAGAGACTTGGGGAATGGGGTGGGCCGAGGGGGAGGGGTGAGGAGAGTTGCATAAAAAAAAATTTCCTAAAAAAAATATTTTCTACTCTCTAACCAAACAATAAAAAATATTTTTCGTAAATATTTTCCACTCACCGACCAAACAAGGGAAAATAAGTGATAAAACCACTCATTTTCCATAAAAATATTTTCTAGAAAAACATTTTCCATGGAAAACATTTTCCTTCATACCAAACACACCCTAAAATTTGGAGTGTGTTTAACCAAACAATTATTTTTACGTCACGTAAATTAATTTTTGTTCATTGTTAAAGACAATATCTTAATAATCGAAAATATTTCAAATTTACACATCTTACTTTTAAAATAAAATTAAGCAACGCCTTAATAAGAATCATGTTGCTAAAGTTAGGCGGATCCAGCTCTACAATTACGGGTTTGGTCCTGACATCAGTAGCTTTGGTTCAATTTTGTATTTGTTTTAAAATTTATTGAATATGTATAAATTATTAATTTAAAACTCAATAACTTAAAAGAATTCCAATTTCGAACCCATAAATTTTAAATTCTGACTTTATCCTAACGAAAGTATATCATAAAAAATGAAAGGTGAATAATACTTTCATAAAGCACAAGGTGAAAAGACACTCTTCTTAGTTGGAGCAGAAAATACAAAAGAAGAATAAAATGTAGCAACGTCCCCCTTGAAAGATCTTTTGTTTTCTTATTAAATTTATAATTTCTCCGCTGGTCTTTCTCGAGTAAAAGCAAATACAAGAAATATAGATTAATGTCACGCAAAGAGTACGTAAATATACTATTGTATGAATTTACTTGCAAAAACAATTATCTAGACAATGTATAGGCCAAAATCTGAACAGAAAAATCCCACTTAAGGGAGGACGACCAAGAGCTAAGCGAGCCGAGGTCACGTATGAGAAGCGATACACTAACGAGTGACTCGGCTACGGCCTGAACGGCTGGTTCAACCCTTAGACGTTCCTAGAGGAATATTCTACGGGATATTTCAAGAACTTAAGCATTCCGGTTAAGGATCGTTGGGTAAAGAAAAGTATTTTTGTATAAATATCACGGGAGAGAGTAACTAAAGGGGGTCTGGCAAAAAACTCAGATACACAAGTAAACATATCTTAAGAGAGAAGGAGATATAATTCATCTCGGGCTCCTGGTCAAAGAGAAAGGAGAGAGGAAGCTTAGATCCTCATTATCCATCCTTAGTAGCATTGTATCAAATGTATGGGGGTCAACCTTGTTCAAGAACGGTGACCCTTTTTATTTATGTATTCCTCATTATCATTTAATATCATCAAAACATCATCCATTTCTTACGCGACATGATTTATTCATTGTTATTATTAAATTATATGTTCAGTTGTGCTTGCTTATTCTTATCTCCTATCTCAGATCTAGGAGATTATCTTTGGCTAGGATTTACCTATCATCGTTTACTTAATTAGTTTAACAAAAAGGTTCAAGACTTTTTGGTCAAACAATTTGGCGCCATCTGTGGGAATGCTCTAGCCAAAGTTTTAGTCTCCTCTACATCTAAGGTCAGCCAGAGTCCCACTTCTCGGTTGACATAGCTTTGCCCTCTCAGTACAAACACCAACTCGAAATATTTGTGGGCAAGCCCTTGAAATAGCCGAGCAAACCGAGGTCAGATCTTTGCACGAAAACGAAATTACATTTCGATATCTACGTGAAAGCTATGTCTTGCTGAAGAGGTGAGTCTGGTATGTCGTACGCGTGAGTCGTCAAAATAGGATTATGTCACTACGCACTAAGCACGTCCACCATCTTATTGCTACATTAACGTCAGATACCAATCTATACTTTATGCACACTACCCTCTCTCTCTTGGGAAGGAATGATAGCCTATTGTGTAATTTTTTGAAATGGCAAGCTTACCCTATCCGTGTGTTTGCGGTATGACTTATGTTCCCCTTATTTTTGTGCACCTGGGACTGGATCGAACCGGGACTCGAACTCGAGATCCAGCAGGCAAAATAAATTGTCATCCCACAAGACGCCCAGATCCGACTAATGGCGAAGCCAAGCACGGGGCCAGGATCAAATCTGAAGCCAGCATTCAAGAATGGTTTAAAACAAGTCGCATTGCAGCAACACTCTCCACTCGTCGACCAATCAGGCCGAGGTAACAAACGATTTAGTTTGTGTTTAACTTACTATTTTTCTTTGGTGGGATAGGAACAGGAACACTCTCCCAACTACGCGACTTTCGAGCTCTGCCCCCTTCCAAAGAATCCAACTTCACGATCGAAGGGGGCACGGTCTCAACGCCCAAACCAGTACCCCCATCCGGTTGAGATACCTCTAATGTGAGTTCACCTTTCGAAGGTCTCTCGGTCTCAGCTACTGTCCTCCATCTCTTCAAAGGGGCCTCATCGCCTTCGTCCTCCAACGACTCGTCCACCAAATGAACTGCGGGAGCCGCCCGCCAAGGGAGAGGCAGCCGGGCGGCTAAGCACGCGCGCAATCAAAATCTGCGAGACAGCGGTTGTCTTAACGGGTTCACTTTCAGCCACAGCAAGAACAGGCTCGGCCGAGATACCCAATCGGCGAAAAGCAGGCGTAAG